GTCACGCGAGTTAGAGCTAAGAAGATGCGTGAAGCTTTAAATGGCCTTATTGAGCAGATCTGGGTTGAAAACAACATACAACAAGCAAATCGAAGTTTGGATGATTATCAAGGCATGATAAACATCATTCAGGTTCAAGAGAAGCTTAATTGAGGTCATTTATGCTAAATTACATAGTTTGCGTCAATCTCGCAATTCTGTTGCAATTTGTAACAAACTGATATTTCATGTTACTTTAGGCTACTTTTAGTGATTGTCACGTTTTTTATATTATTTTGGGTTGAACATTCATTTATTTAAGGCCCAATTTGTGGTTATTATTATTAGGGCTTAGGGTGTTAGTTTCCTATTCTGATTAGAATTACTTTTCCCTATTTAAAGGGGCTTGTAACCCTAATTGGGAGGCTATTGAATCCGAGATTTTCAAAGACTTTTCTCTTTGGTTCGTTTCAGAACTTTACAAAACTTATCAAGATTATTCTTGTGGCGTTCTAACCTGACTTATCATTCTCTTTCTTAATCGCTCGAGGGTGTGGCGTCAACCAACTTTATACCTCTGGTTCTTATTGCATCATAGACAACGGGTCAAGGTTTTTACCTTTGGTTCTTGTGGCGACATAAACAATGGGTCAAGGTCCTATTATAAACCTGATTTAGCTTTTCTGGAGTTTAGAAATCCCTTGTTGTGCTGTAGGTCTCATTGTTCTCTTTGGGGTTCTCATCAGAGAACAAGAGGATTAACAGTCTTAGAAAAGCCAAATGGTATTGTAATGCCCCAAATCCCACATTGGTAGAGAATTGTAAGTGTGATATATAAATATGAAAACCAACCATTACTAATAGCTTAAATTTTTAAGGAGCCGTGACCCTTGGCCTGAAGAGTTATTAGGGTAGTGGTGGTTTCTTCAATCCGGGTCATTTCAATTGGTATCAAAGTCACTTTGCATAATCTCTAGAATGGTGGTAGGGCGAATCTTAGCAAAGATGTTGAGTCTCAAAAAGGGGGTGTATGTGACGTTGGGGGTATAAGTCAACACCCATTAATCCCTATTGATGCAATTTAAAACCATAAGGCTAAAGGGCCAAAGTGGATAGTATCAATAGTAGACTATGTTGTTACAAATATAGAGAGTTGCAAGTGAGTTATTTTGGGAACTGAAAGAGAATTGTGGTTATCCAATTGATTGGATAGTAAAAGATGTGTTGATTTGCTAATGTATTTGTGTTTTGGATTGAAAATGTTCTTATCTTCAAAATATATGGGAATACTTTCACTTAAATATAATGTTTGTCCTAGCTAAATTATATTTTAAAGTTAGTAACTTGATTACAGAGGTTTATTGGATTATGATAATTATTCAAACAAGTATCACTCCCACTAGGGTGAAAAAGATCTATTATTATTTATTCGTTCATGTTCATATTAATAGTTATTGTATTAGTTATTTAACCTCCTCCAAATTTCCTTCTACCTCTATATAGTTTAGTTTTTGCATGTGCTCTATATTTGAAGAAAAGAGATTGACTTAAGTACTTTTTTTTTTTTTTTCTATTCTATGGTGTGGTTTTATTTGAGTGATGAACTTGTTTTTCATTGTAGAATCCTAATGGATCAAAGTACAGACCACTAAAAATTTGAAATTGTAGAGCTTTTCGTACTCGCATTTAAGTCCTAAATTCAAAAGAGATGATTTAAAATGATTTATTTTGATGTAAAAAAGTAATTTTTCTCTTTTAATACAATCATTTAATTTTTGTCAATTGCTTGTAAGAAAAATTAGCATAAAAAATAGAAATTAGATTTCCAAAATAATTGATTTACAATACATTTGGTTTGAAGGAAATAGAAGGGAGAGGAATAGAAGGATACAACATCCTTCCATTTCCATCCCCTCCTCTTCTCTCATTTGGATAAACTCCCTTTTTCTTTTAAATTTTTTTGCTAACCAAATAAAAGAATTTTCATCCCTCCTCTCCAATTTCTTCTACTCCCCTAAACTAAAAATATCATCAACTAAAGTAATGACTTATTAATTAGGTTAAATCCCCATTTTGGTCCCTGAACTATTGTACGAACCCTTGATTTGGTCCTTGAACTAAAGAAATCCCTGATTTGGTCCCTAAACTATTGTACAGACCCCCGATTTGGTCCCCACTGTTTATAATTTGGCCTAAGTTGGTCCTTGAACTATTGTACGGACCCCCAATTTGGTCATTACTGTTTACAATTTCGCCCCAATTTGGTCCCTAAGCTATTATTTAACGGAAGGACCAAGTTGGGGCTAAATTGGTAAACAATAGGAACCAAATTGGGGATCCGTATAATAGTTTAGGGACTAACTCGAGGATCCGTACAATAATTTAGGGACCAACTCAGGGGTCCGTACAATAGTTCAAGGACCAAATTAGGGATTTCTTTAGTTTAGGGACCAAATCGGGGATCCGTACAATAGTTCAGGGACCAAAATAGGAGTTTAACCTATTAATTAAAAAGAAAAAAACCCAAGTCAACAAAAGAGAGTATGAATTTGATGAGAAAAATTTATGATTTCAATTTGGTCTATCCTGGATGAAATAAGTCGAGCAAAAGCTCACCACAAGGCGAACAACTTTTCAACCAAGATCACAAGTCTTCAAAACCTTAAGTGTAAATAGTTAACAATGAAATAATATATCTTCACATTTATATATTAATCACACTCATACTTCCATAGAAGGGCTATTTGGTATGGTGATTTAGAATTAGTAGATAATGGTTTCATCTAATTTATGGTTAATGATTATTATTAATAATAATTTCAACATACTTATTCTAGATGAAACTACTAATTGCTAATTTCAAACCACTATACTAAACTGTCTCAAGGTTTACATTGGGTTTTCACAAACAAAATCAGCTTCCTTTTTAGATCCACTAAGGATAGGCAGCTGTCTAAATTTACCTCAAGAGAAATTGTGTCCAATCTAGTGCAATATGTCTCGAACTTGGTCTTAACCATTAAAGTACATTGAGTATAATTGCATTAAATTAAGCCAACTAAATAGTATTTATAAAGACCTAAGGCGTATACCTTAAAGAGACATTTTGACACTCAAGTTAGTATTGATTTTGTGCTAATCTTGTAGAAAGAGAAAGAACTTATATAAAGAGAAGTCAAGGGAGAAAACTCACCTTGTGAATGGGATAGTGTCATAATTATATGGTCCTCAGCCATAGGTCACATCTTCATTGGTTTGTCATGAGTCCACTATAGTGCATGAATGCTCAAGAGCCTTTATACATGTTTGGCTACTTTATAGGCTTAAAGGATTTATTTAGGGCATACTTGGGTTTCTCTTGGAATTAATATGAGCTTGCATTTTATATCCTTATATTGAGGAAGTTGACTTGTTGCACTATTAGTTATGCTTGGTTTGGGTGATGTCCATGGAGTATGTTTTGCCTTTGAACCTGTAACACACCTCCCTTAGGTATCCTTTGTCCCACAAGAGTCCTTACATAATAACTTTAAAAAAATAGTGCAAAAAAAGTAAAATATTTCTAAAGTATAAAATGTTTCCTTAAAAAAAAAAACCTACTTTCATATCATTTTAAAACTACATAGAAAGAAAATCAATAACTTATGAATGAAAACTAATTTAACGAAAAGTGTCTTAAGAAAAATATCAAAGTGCTCAAGTTATAAAATAACCTAAATTGAGACCATTTTCATTAATTTATAAATGATAAGCATAAAAGTAATTTACACAAAATGGACATTAGCAAAGGCTTTTCAAAAGCTTTTCAAAATAATAAAAATAGAGCCATTGTTTTGGTAACACATCAATTTGCCTTCACATCAAAAGCAATGAGGTCCTAGTTTCTACATACAATGAGTATTCGTGATTTATACCAAAAGCTCTCAAGTTTAGCAACTGCTACTCTAATCTATTGATCATAAATGAGGGAGAAATAACATGAGCTAAAAGCCTAGTAAGTGTGAAATTAAAGTTATAAACTTGCATCTTAAGACCCTTAAACCTCAACACTTAAATAGCATAATATACAATTAAGTCAAATCATATAATACTACAAGTCTTATTATTTAAATAACAACTTAGCACGTTACAGGATAATTCATGAATAATCAAATATGCTAAAGAAAAGCCAATTACAATTAATTCAAATTCATATTATAAAGCCATATGCTAAAAAATGGAATATCACAATCAGAATGCATAATATAACAAAAATCAAACAATGCTATGAAGTCCACTGATGTGTATTAACAACACTTATACCGAAGTTAGTCATGACACTCATCTTATTGTGTAAACACTACTGCAGGAATGGGATTTTCGAACCGAAATATCGGTCCGGATATATAGGAAATCGGTCTGAATATATATATCCGGACCGATATTGGTCCTTATAGTTGATATGAAAAAACCTGGTACGAATAAGTCTAATATACAGACCGATGTAGAATCGGTTCGTATATATACTATCCGGACCGAAATCGGTCCGGATATTTCAGTAAGAAATATAAATAATTATTGAGAAATTGAAATAAGCAGATCGAAATTGGTCCCAAAAAAATAATATAATAAAATAATAAAATATATACGAACCGACAACGGTCTGTAAGTGTGGCGGAAAGAGGCATCAGAAATATATA